TTGTGAAAAGCCTTCTTTTAACAGCGTTGGGGTGGGAATTTTGTTTGGTAATAAAAACTGAGCTAATAAAGAAGTGAAGATAGTTGTTTATATTTTGAAGGCCACCTCCACTGGGTGTTAAATGTAGGGACATTTGTAAGTGTTGTACTCTTTAGGACAAAATGAGTTTAGGTTGGATATATTAGTTATTAGGTGATTCTTTGAATTATATAGGATTTTTCAGGGATTGGTTCCTGAATCATGCCATTTGATGCTTTCAAACTATTAGTGTGTCTAATGAAGTCATGAGGGGCAGGATGGAGGAGCTGTGAAGAGTATAGGGAAAAAGCCTACAAATATTGAAAGAAAACGTTTGAATCCTTTTTCAATTCCAGATCATCTGAAATGAAGGCAAAACTCTAGTGGGGGCGGGGGAGATATTTGATTTACGGCTTTGCAGGCATGCATTCTAGATGAGTACTTTTGCGTGCAGAACTATACATGCAGCTCCTTTGCTCAGACCTAAGGTTCTTGCAGGAAACTAATATCTAACTTTGTGGTGGGTGGTGAGATGGAGATTCTGAGTCACTACAATTTCTGGAGCCTTGATAAAGCATTTGTGTATAATATAGATTTGACTGCACAGGGTCAGCCAATACAATATGGTCAGAGGTCATTAAGGGGTAGTATTAACAAAGTACAATGATTGCAAACCTTTTTTTTTTTAGGGTGTGAAGTGTTTTTATTTTTTTAACATCTTTATTGGAGTATAATTGCTTTACAATGGTGTGTTAGTTTCTGTTTTATAACAAAGTGAATCAGTTATACATATACATATGTTCCTGTATCTCTTTGCAAACTTTCTTGAGCTCTGGGCCTAAGGAAAGAAAGAAGTAAAAATGCATGTTTGAAAAGTTTTTGCATTGTGGCTGAGGCTTTCCTGCAGCATTTCTGTGGTAGTATAGAGTGGATTTAAACACAAAGTATTAGAAATAGGCTTTCCTACTAGTTGACCACAGTGAGACATCTGCCTTTCCAGGTTAGTCTTCCACACCTGGGTAAAACATATGTCTGATGTTTTCAGTTTCTCTTTGCCTGAAAAATGTATTGGCTAAAAGAAAGACCACTAAATTTTTGGTACTTCTAGATTATATCTTTGAGAACAAATGTAGAATAACTGATGTGAGAAAGGTTGAGTTGTGGTAGGCACCGGGAGGGAAATTTTTGTTTTTGTTTGCATTTGTCTCAATTATATAAGTTAAAGGAAACAAAAAAGAAATCATCTTTCCTGGCAGTGCAGATACTCTAAAGTTATGAGTTTGACATTGACATTTGGCCAAGGTTCTTAGGGAAATACAAAATGACTCCAGTGTAGTGCAGTTTCTTTCCTTAGAGCATATCTTTGGGTAATAGAGATAAGGCAAACAGAAACAGTTTCATACTTTGGGTCAGAAATTTTGAAGAATATAAGAACATAAACATGATGTGGCCATGTTTCTCTTTATTGAGATGTAGTTCACGTATGATATAATTCAACCAATTCAGTGGTTTTTTATTTTTTAAACTTAAAATAATTATTTATTTATTTATTGGCTGTGTTGGGTCTTCGTTGCTGCATGTGGGCTTTGTCTAGTTGCGGGAGCAGGGGCTACTCTTTGTTGCGGTGCGCGGGCTTCTCATTGCGGTGGCTTCTCTTTGTTGCAGAGCACAGGCTCTAGGCACACAGGCTTCAGTAGTTGTGGCACGTGGGCTTCAGTAGTTGTGGCTCGCGGGCTCTAGAGCGCAGGCTCAGTACTGGGCTTCAGTAGTTGTGGTGCACAACTTCAGTAGTTGTGGTGCACGGGCTTAGTTGCTCCGCAGCATGTGGGATCTTCCTGGACCTGGGCTTGAACCCGTGTCTCCTGCATTGGCAGGCGGATTCTTAACCACTGCGCCACCAGGGAAGTCCCCAATTCAGTTGTTCTATTGTGCTCATGCAGTTGTGAAAACAATCAGCACAATTTTAGTACATCTTCATCACCCCCAATAGAAACCTATACCCACTACCAGTCACTTCTCAGCTCTGGGCAATAACTAGTCTATTTTCTGTCTCTGTTTGCCAGTTCAGAACGTTAGAAATAAGTAAAGTCATACAATATGTGGTCCTTTGTACTGCCTTCTTTTACTTAGCACAAGCTTCATCTATGTTGTAGTATGTGTCAGTACCTTATTCCTTTTAATAGCCAAATAGTGTTCCATTTTATGGATATACCACATCCATTCATTAGTTGATGGACATTTGGGTTGTTTCCACTTTTTAGCTATTATGAGTAGCCAAATAATACTGCTATGAACATTCATGTACAAACTTTTGTATGGACATAGGTTTCTCTTGGGTATATGCCTAGGAGTGGGAATTTCTGGGTCATATACTAATTCTGTGTTTAACCATTGAAGAACTGCCAGACTATTTTCCAAAGTGACTGCATCATTTTACTTTCCCACCAGTAATGTATGAAGCTTCCAATTTTTCCATGTCCTCACCTATACTTACCTGTCTCTTTTTTGACATCAAATTTACACTTTATTATTTTTTCTTTTTTAATTGAAATATAATTGACTTACAATATTATATTAGTTTAAGTTGTTATCTTTTTGGTTAGAGTTATGCTAGTGGGTGTGAAGTGGTATCTCATTGTGGTTTTGATTTGCATTTCCCCATTGTCTAATGATGTTGAGCATCTTTTCTTGTGCTCATTAGCCATTTCTGTATCTTTTTTGGAGAGATGTCTGTTCAAGTTCTTTGCCCATTTTAAAATTGAATTTTTAAAAATTCATTTAAAATTTTTTAAATTGAGTTGTAGGAGTTCTTTATATTTTCTGATGCAAGTTCCTTATTTGATATATGATTCACAAATATTTTGTTAATTTTGTGGATTGTTTTTTTCCCAAGAATTCTTTTTTTCCTCTTTTTAAAAAAATTATGTATATATATATATATATTTTTACAGTAGGTCCTTATTGGTTATCTGATTTAAATATAACAGTTTGTACTTGGCAATCCCAAACTCCTAACCTATCCCTCCCCCCTGCACCCTTCCCCCTGGTAACCATAAATTCATTCTCTAAGCCTGTGAGTCTGTTTCTGTTTCGTAGATAAGTTCATTTGTATCATTTTTTTTAGATTCTGCATATAAGAGATATCATATGCTATTTGTCCTTTTCTGTCTGACTTCACTTAGTATGATAATCTCCAACTCCATCCATGTTTCTGCAAATGGCATTATTTCATTCTTTTTAATGGCTGAGTAATATTCCATTGTATATGTATACCACATCTTCTTTATGCATTCATCTGTTGATGGACGTTTAGGTTGCTTCCATGTCTTGGCTGTTGTAAACAGTGCTGCAGTGAACATTGGGGGTGCATGTATCCTTTCGAACCACGTTTTTCTCCAGATATATGCCCAGGAGTGGGATTGCTGGATCATATGGTAGCTCTATTTTTAGTATTTTCTTTTTTTTTCTTTTTTTGATTGCACGACATGTGGGATCTTAGTTCCCTGACCAGGGATCAAACCCGTGCCCCCTGCAGTGGAAGCATGGAGTCTTAACCACTGGACCGTTGGGAAGTCTCCTATTTTTAGTTTTTTTAAGGAACCTCCATACTGCTGTCCATAGTGGCTGTATCAATTTACATTTCCACCAACAGTGTAAGAGGGTTCTCTCTTCTCCACACCCTCTCCAGCATGTTTGTAGATTTTTTGATGATGGCCGTTTTGACTGGTGTGAGGTAGTATCTCATTGTAGTTTTGATTTGCGTTCCTCTAATAATTAGCAATGTTGAGCATCTTTTCATTTGCCTCTTGGCCATCTGTATGTCTTCTTTGGAGAAATGTGTATTTAGGTCTTCTGCCCATTTTTTGATTGGGTTGTTTGTTTTTTGGTGTGGATTGTCTTTTTACTCTCTTGATGGTGTCCTTTGAAGAACAAAATTTTTCATTTTGATGAGGTTGTCCCAGCACTATTTGTTGAAAAGGCTATACTTTCTCCATTGAATTTCTTGGCACTGTCATCAAAATCATTTGGCCATAAATATGAGAGTATAATTCTGTACTCTCTGTTCCATTGATTTATATGTCTATCCTTCTATCCTTATATTAGTACCACAATTACTGTAGTTGTTTAGTAAGCTTGAAATTGTTGAGTTGTCGTCTTTGTATTTTGTTCTTCAAGATTTTTTGGCTGTTCTAGGTCTTGTGTATTTCCATATAGATTTTAGGATCAGCTTGTTAACTTTTGAAAAAAAGTTAACTTGGATTTTAATAGGGATTGACTTGAATTTTTATAGACCAATTGGGGGAGTATTGCTATCCTAATAGAATTAAGTCTTTCAATTCATGAACATAAGTTGTTTTTCTATTTGTTTAAATGTTTAATTTCTTTCAACAATGTCTTGGAATTTTCAGTGTATATGTTTTGTACTTCTTTTAAATTTATACCTAAGTATTTGAATCTTTTTGATGTTATTATAAATGAAATTGTTTTATTAACTTCATTTCTGGATTTTTTATTGCTGGTGTATAGAAACAGCTGATTTTTGTATATTAATCTTGTATCCTACAACTTTGCAGAAGTTGTTTATTCTAGTAGTTTTTAGTGGATTCTTTAAGATTTTCTATGTATAAGATCATATAGTGTGCAAATAAAGGTAGTTTTATTTTTTCTTTCCAATCTGGATGCCTTTTATTAGTTTTTCTTGCCTAACTGCCCTGACCAGAAATTCTAGTCCAATTTTGAACGAAAGTAGTAGACATCCTTGTCTTATTTCTGATGACAGAGGGTAAGCCGTTCAGTCTTTTACTGTTAAGTGTGATGTTAGCCGCAGGTATTTTAGATGCCCTTTATCAGGTTGAGGAAGTTCCCTTCTGTTTCTAGTTGAGTTTTTATCATGAAGGAGTGTTGGATTTTTTGTCAAAAGCTTTTTTCTGACATAAATTACTTCAAAATGACTAATTTTTTTTCTTTTTTTTAATCTGCAGAAATTGACTTGCATACCAAATGTGTGGTGGATGTAGATGCAAACAAGGTTATTCTCAATCCTGTAAATACCAATCTTTCCAAAGGAGATGCCCGGTAAGTTAAACAGTGTTACGATCAGTGGATTTTTAAATGGCGGAAAGCAACAATGGCTGCTGAACTGAGTTCAGTTGAACAAATATTGAATGCTTCCTATGTGGAGACGTATTGCTGCCAGATAGACGAGGTCTGTAATACGGAGTGACTGAGTGCCAGAATGCGTGTTGTAGGCAGTAATGGTTTTGGAAGGTCCGAGAAGAGAGTGTCGGTTAGATTGTGAAGTAACTGAGGAAGCCTTCTTGAGGAGGTGGTACTGGCTGGAGGCTTAGGTAAGATGTGAACGGGAAGAAGCCGGGTAAAAGGGAGGGCTTTTAGGTTGTTCCTCAGTGTGTGTTGTTTTTACTTCTGCCAATTCTCATCCTGTCTGTCACTTAGAGCCCATTTCAAGTGCTGTTTTCTTCCTGAAGACATTCTTGCAGCCCTTAGTGATTCCTCTCTTTTAAGGCCTCATGAACTATAATCTGTACTACCTAATTTAATTATTATATATTGTTTTGAATTATTAATTGTAGCTTAACAGTAGATTTTAAGGTCTTGGAGGGAAGAGACTCTCTGTCAGGGGTTGGGGATGAATACTTGAGCATCAGTTCTGGATTTGGGTGATAGTATGAAGAAAAGACAGGGCAAGAAGTTGCAAAGAAATTGAATGTGGGGAGGAAGGAAGAGATTAATTTGGTTTTTCTCAGCAAGTGCGGGAAAATTAATTTGATCACGTAAGTTGGAGTCAGTTTACAGAAGACCTTGAAAGCAGGTGAGATTTGGCCTGTGTTTTTACGGGTAGGATGTCATCTCTGACAGTTTTTTAATTATTGTGATTAAGGAGGTGGATTCGGAAGAGCTGTTGGATGGCAATGCAGAGAATAGGTTAGAGTGGGGAAAAGACTGGCTGTTTGCAGAGATCAGCTCTATCAGAGATGTTTTTGTGCCGATCCTGGAAGTGGAGAACACATAGTGCCCGCCATGATGCTTTGCACAAAGTAGGTGCTTCAGAGTACTTGTAGAGCAGTGCTGTATATGGAAATATACCCGGAAGGTACTCCATAAAGGTTCTTTCAAGTTGAATTGCATTGAAAAGAGCACTGGCCTTGGAGTCAGAAAATCTGAAATAGAATCCCTACTTATGTTATTGTAGTTAGTTTTTTTTTTTTTTTTTTGGTGGTACGCGGGCCTCTCACTGTTGTGGCCTCTCCCGTTGCGGAGCACAGGCTCTGGACGCGCAGGCTCTCAGCAGCCACGGCTCACGGGCCTAGCCACTTCGCAGCATGTGGGATCTCCCCGGACCGGGGCACGAACCCACGTCCCCTGCATCGGCAGGCAGACTCTCAACCACTGTGCCACCAGGGAAGCCCTAAAAATTATTTTTTATTGGAGTATATATTTTTAACTTTTTTGAGCCTTATCTGTAAGATACCTGCCTTACCTGTCTCACACCTCTATGAGATCAAATTAGTGATTGTTAAAGTGCTTTGTAAAGTGTTCTGTAAATGTTCAGGTTTATTGTTATTGATGTAGAGATATTTCTTAAGCATCTCTGGGATATGCCATTATTAGGGTGGGAAGGGTATAGATGTGTCAAGAAAGGTGCTGGGATTTTGAGCCTACTAACTGAATGACCTGTTGTCCTGAGTGTTAATTGAAAACATTAATTTGGGGGCTGTTTATTGCTCTTAGAGCTTCCAAGCTGAAGACTATGGCTTTCTTTGGCCATGTGGGCGACTCTGAACAAACTTGGAGGCAATACCCTCTGGTAGAAAGAATATGGGCTTTTTATACAGGCTGATGGATTCAAATTCTGGCTCTGCCACTCACTGGCATGGTTATCTACCTGTGTTTTTTATTTGTAAAGTGTTTTCATTTTCTGTTGCTGTGTAACAAATTACCTCAAAAGCTTAGTGGTTTAAAACGACAATAACCATGCATTATTTCCTGGTTTTTGTGGGTCAGGAATTGAGACAGGGTGCAGCGGGCATGGCTTGCTCTGCTCCATGCTGTCTGGGGCCTACTGGGAAGACTCGAAGGCTCACCTGGGTCTGGCAGTTGGTGCCATCTGTTGGCTGGAGAGGTTTCTGGGGCTGTGGGCAGAACACTTGCTCACAGTCTGGTGGCAGGTTCCAAAGGCAGGCGTCCTGAGAGCACGAGAAAGCCAGGTGGAAGAAGTATTGCCTTTGATATTCTAACCTTGGAAGTCACACAGTGTCATTTTTGTCACATTTTCTTGCTCAAGTCTGGTATAAAGCTCTACACAGTTTCAAGAAGAGGAAACATAGACTCATCTGTCTTAGGGTGGAGGAAAGTTAGTGTCAAATCAGGAAAGCATTTGGGGTGGGAGATGCATTGTTGTGGCTCCATCCACAAGTGTGTACCTGGTGAGGTAATTGTGAGAATAAAATGAGCACATAGAAGCTTTTTTTAAAAATGTTTTCTTTCCTTTAGAGACCTTTAAATCTTAGGGATTTGTGAAAGAATTAAATAGCACTTTTTGGTTCCGTAGAGTATCTTGGATGACTCTTTTTTTACGTGTCCTGAAAACAGAGATTGAATATTAACTCAGTGCTATAGAGTACTGTCTGATAAAAAAAAAAAAACTTTTAGAAATGACAACTGTCAATAAGGTTGGTATGTAATGGCTTTTGGTGAAGTAAAGTTAGGAAGCACAGCTGCTTAAAAAAACAACTCTTTATTGAAGTACATACTATACATACAGAAAAGTATATATAGCTTGATGAATTTTCATAAGTTGAACAGTCCTGTAACTGGCGCCCAGATTAAAAACAAGAACATTACTAGTATGACAAGAGACCACCTCATGAGAAGCACTTTTTCTTTTAATGTAATATCAAGGTGAAAAGGGAAAACAGAAATTTTGGGATGTAGCAGTTCAGTGGTATATGTTGACTCCATTAAAAGAAAAAAATAGGAGGGAAAGCACAAATTACAAAGTTAAGGTTAATTACCGTCTAGTTTGTAGAATGACTAATCCATACAACAAGTTATGGTTTTATAGGAGGTATACTTGTATTGGGTTGGCCAAAAAGTGCCTTCAGTTTTTAAGTAAAAGTAAAAGACATATTTTTCATTTTCACCAAGAACCTTATTGAACAACATAGTCACCCTTTTGTTCCACTACCTTCTGCCATTTTTCAGGCAACTTCATATTTCCACCTTCTCAAAACCTTTTATTTTTTTGAGCAAAGAACTGTTCAAGGTGCCTTTTACAGTCTTCCAGGGAATTGACATTTTTTCCATTAAGAGAATTTTGTGAAGACCGAAATGAATGGAAATCCGAAGATGCAATGTCTGGTGAATACGGCAGATGAATCAGAACTTCCCAGCCAAGTTGTAACAGTTTTTGCCTGGTCATCAAAGAAACATGCAGTCTTGAGTTATCCTGATGGAAGATTACGTGTTTTCTGTTGACTAATTCTGGACGCTTTTCATTGAGTGCTGCTTTCAGTTGGTCTAGTTGGGAGCAGTACTTGTTGGAATTAATCGTTTGGTTTTCCAGAAGGAACTTGTAATAGAGGACTCCCTTCCAGTCCCACCATATACACAACATCACCTTCTTTGGATGAAGACCGGCCTTTGTTGTGGTTGCTGGTGGTTCATTTCACTTGCCCCACAGTCTCTTCCATTCCCCATTATTGTACAGTATCCACTTCCATCGCCCGTCACAATTTGTTTTAAAAACGGAACGTTTTCAGTACGTTTAAGTAGAGAATAGCAGGTGGAAATACGGTCAAGAAGGTTTTTCTTGCTTAACTTATGTGGAACCCAAACATCAAAGCAATTAACATAACCAATATGGTGTGAATGATTTTCAATGCTTGATTTGGATATTTTGAGTAATGTCGGCTATCTCCCGCGTGGTATAACGCTGACTGTTCTCAATTAATGTCTCAGTTTGATTGCTGTCAACTTCACCTGGTCTACCCAACCACAGAGCATCGTCCAGCGAGGATTCTCCAGCACGAATCCTTGCAAACCACTTTTGACACGTTTGATCAGTCACAGCACCTTCTCCATTCACTGCAAAAATCTTTTTTGACATTTCAGTTGTGTTTTTAACATTTTTGAAATAATAAAGTATAATATGCCAAAAATGTTGCTGCTTTCCTTCCATCTTCAATATTAAAATGGCTACACAAAAATTCACCAATTTTAATGTCTTTTTTAAATGCACACTGATATGACAGCTGTCACAATACAGTCTAACAAAATTGTTTCGAATGAAGTTAAAGACAACTAAGTGCTATTAGAGCCATCTTAAGGGAAAAACCGAACGTACCTTTTGGCCAACCCAATAGCAGAGAGCCAGGGATTTGAAACTAACATTAAAAAAAGTGGTTTGGTCAGTCTAAATCACTAGTCAGAAAGGCTCAAATTAATGTTTTTCCTTTAAAAGCTACAATATCCTTGTTTTTAGAATAGTATCCAATCCTATTAATATAAAAATATGACTAGTTTTGTATGTATACTTACAACCTAAGTTAGTATACTTTGAAAGTGAACATGTATACATTTTATAACAGTAGTTTGTATATTTTTCTGATTAATTTTGCATTAACTTCTGAAAGTTTCATGTTTATGCTTATTAAAGCTAATAAAAGTCATGGTTAAATGAGGAGGAAGACCATTTTTAGCTTAACAGCTTAATCATGGGAATTTGGGAAACATTTTTGCTGTGCTATATATGTGGAATTTCAAAACTGTTTTGAAAAATAAGATGCTTAAAATTCAGAAAATTGATCGTACATGGCTAACGAGATTAAGAAATGCTGACTTTGGAGTCAGACATCCTGGACTGAATCTCAGCTCTGCTACTTAACATGTGTGATGTGGAGCAAGTTCCGTAATTGTCCTCTGCCTCAGTAAAGTGGAGATTATAGTAGTACCTGCCTATAGGTTGTTATGAGGATTAAGTGAGTTAAAATATGTAAAGTGGCAGTGCCTGGTGTACAGTTAACCTTATGTAAAAAGTTAGCTATTACTTTGACTCT